GCCTAGGGATATTTTAAATTGGATTTTAATCAACTTTTAAAATAAGAAAAGGCCTATTTAAATATATCTTTTAATTTATTTTAAATTTTGTATATTTGTATCAATTGCTCTGTTTTTTAACTGGCTGTAAGCCGCCCTGAGTCCACCAGGAGAAGGGCAGGATATAAATACAATAAACTGAAACTGAAACTGAAACTGAGAGAGGTTGACTGGCCCACAGTCACCCAGTTGGCTTTGTGGCTAAGACAGAGCTAGAACTCACAGTCTCCTGGTTTGTAGCCTGGTGCCTTAACCACTACACCAAACTGTCTCCCGATAAGGAAATAAAATGGATGGATGGATGGATGGATGGATCCAAAAAGCCCTTACCTTATAAATTCTTTGCATTCATTTCTTCTTGAAATGAAACTTTGTCCTGATATATGCCAAGAATTTATGGCGTATAAACTTTTCAGGTGGTTTTCCTTTTCAATCCACACTTAGTAAATGAGAGTGCCATGGGAGTGAATGAGAGAGACAAAGGGAAATATAGCATTATATCTATGTGCTCATATATAAAAAAATGAAAAAGTGCATATCCTCATCTGCATTCATTATGTCAAGTATATAAATCTGAGTCCTCAAAGCTGGGTGTGTCCCCCAAATCCTTGGGTCTGCCCCCGTCTCCAAAAGCTGCTACCAAACTGTTATTTGGAGGAGAACAGAGAATCCTAACTCATTCAGTATATAACTGAATCATATCACCTACATTTCTTTGGAAACATACTAATTATTTCTTTTTCTCTTTTCTGGCATGCAACCACTGCACACCACTCATTAAACGTTGTGCAATCCTGATATTTTCCAGCTTAACCTGGCAAGCTGTGTAGCACTTAAGGCTGAAAAAAATTGCCTGCCTGGGCAATTTGGGATTGGATTAATTAAGTTTAATTTTAAAGCACAACTCAGTCGTTAATAGGCACTGCAATTTTCCATTTCACATTTACTTGTTAGATTTGTACCCTGTACTTTCACTGAAAAGTGGAACTCCGGGTAGATAATATGAAAAAATGAATAAAAGAGAATCAAAAACAATAAAAATGCATTAGAAAAAATAGACTTCTTAAAAAGCACATTGGTAAAACAGATCACATCCAATAAAAATGTATTACGGTAAGCTTCAAGCTCGTATTTCCATTCTTCTTTTGCATGCCATAGCATAGGAGATGACATCTGCTTTTAAATTAACCAAAGGTCACTTGGTATCAAAATTGTTAGGCTAGTTTGAAAGGATGGTCTGATAATGCTGGATCACTTTATATTTTCTTCCTAGAAATGTAATTTATTGAAACACTGAGGAGAGATGGCTGTTTTCTAGTGGACTATACTGTAAATGCATCACTGTAATCTTTTTTCCATGACTACAATGGGCCACATGGTCAGAGTTGATTTGCATGGATATCTACTATGCAGCATTTCATTTTTTTACAAGCCAAGAAGCTTTAGCCAATCCAGCTGTATGACAGTGGCATTGTGTATTATTATTTTTTTAAAAAAATCTGCTTTTATGTTCATTGTCACTGAGAAGACCAAAGAAACTTGTCAGTGCACAATATTTGACAGCATGTGGAGATGTTTGTGTAGAAGGTTGTGTTTTCAGAAGTACCCTCAAAATAGGGATGGACAATATATGACCCTCCAAAAGTTGTTGGCCACAAGGTCCCATCCGTTTTCCTAGATGACCATGTTGATGTAAATTGGGAATTCAACAGCATTTGGAGAGTCACAATATCATTTATATTCTTTATTTCACATCACATGTGTAACCTGATTTTGCATTAACTTGCTTTTTGGATGCACACAATTATTTGAATCATAAATTTACAAAATGAGTTGGGCTTGTACAGCATGCTAAGGAAATTAAATAAGTGAAAAGTAAGACTAACCAGGCCTAGTATCTTGTAGATGTGGAGCCACAAAGTCTTAAGTGTGTTACGCAAACAAAGCTCGTAATTCAATTGTACTTGATGTAGCCTGTTGAAATTAAAGGGCCTTCAGCAACTCATGACTGTTCTTTCTTGATTTCAGGAAGCTTACTCAAAGAGTGATTAAACCAGAAATTAGTCCACTGGATTTACTGGTTTTTTTAAAAAAAAGTAGAAAGGGTTGAATGTGGAACTGCTATTTTTGGCTTTGTTTTCTAGATTGTTGCTGTCAGAGTGGTGTGAACAGATTTGACTTCTTTTCTCAGAGAAAGAGCATTTGTATGAATGATTAAGTAGCTCCGCACTGTATCTTAGTTTGTTGTAGCAAATTTTGTAATCTCTGATGCAAAAATCTAGATCATCAGAGAAGTAACTGCATCTGAATTAAGTTGGATATTTTTCTTGGTTCTCATAGATATCCCTGAAAGCTAGGGAAAAAGTCAACCTCAAAGCAATATGAAAACTAGTTCTCACTACAACATGTCTTTTGATTTCATTGCCAAAGGCCGGCCTCCACCTCGGGGATCAAAACCCAATGCAAGTGGACAGATGAAGCCAATGGCCCCTCTAGATCGGATATATCAGGAAATAGCAATCTTGAAGAAGTTGGACCATATCAACATTGTCAAGCTGATTGAGGTTTGTTTGCTTGTGTTCTGTGCATGAGGTAGGTTGGGATTTTCCAAAACTCCCTTTAATTGAATTTCTTCCTGGATTTTAAAACTCTGGATTTTCTTAATTTTGTTTCAAATTGAGCATGAGAGGTCAAGACTTCTTCATTTTTTTGCTGTAGGTTTTTCTTTTGAATTTTGTATGGAAGATTATGAGTGAACAGTTTGCCCAGATTTCAGCATCTTGTGACTTTCTCATAGTTCCCGTTTAGTCATTACAAAACTTGAGTAAAGTCTGGGAAAATAAACAAGAATCTTGAACAAAGCTGAGTGCTGCTACCGGTAGCAGTGGTTGTTTGAAAAAGCAACCTTTTTAAAGGAGTTTTCTCTTTTTGCTTTTTAAAATAGTCACCACTTACAGATTTCTAGAGACAAAACTGGAGAAGGTTGTTTCTGGGATTTGAGTGATACTGTATGCCTTTTTTGGCTGTTATACTATTTTAGGCCCTGGTAATGTTTTACGTGTAGTTTTTGCTTACCAGCTGTTTCATTCAGCAACCGTTCGAAGTTACAATGGTGCTAACAAAATAATTTTGCGCTGAATGCCTGCATTTACAACCTTTGCAACATCCCTCAGACACGTGATCGCTATTTTAGTCAGTAAATGCTGTTCTGTGCCTGACCTGTTATTTTTCTTTCTCCCCCGGCCCCAACCCCATGCAGAGTGGAGAGATTGGAGAAGAAGAGATTTAAACAGAGTAAGCAGGAACATAATGGGGAATACACATCTGAAGAAATCTGGTAGTGCTGATAGCTCTGAGCATGCAAGTGGTATATCCAGGGCTTTTTTTCAGCCGGAACGCGGCGGAACCGCGTTCCGGCACCTTTTTCCGGGCCGGCCGCACCGGAAATAGCCCCTCCCACACCGGAAATAGCCCCTCCCAAATTTTACTTGCATTCCTGTTCTCTAAAGGGGCGGTCCTAGGGTTTGATGAGGGCGTGGCCAGGTTTGAGTTCCGCCACCTTTTC